GGAACAGTACAGACAAGCAATCTCCTTGGTTTCCACTTGGGCAGGCTTCATCAGCATTAAATTTTCTGGTATTTTGAAACCAAAGCCACGGGGGAAAGGAAATAAAATCCTCCATCACATAGAGCAGCACGAAGCAGGTACACATTAAGCCATAATGGGTCCATAATGCTGTCTTCTTAAAGCCATCTTTATAATGGGGATTTATTATTTGGTTAATAATCCATAATGACTCCTTAGCAAGTGGAATCCCGGGCTGCAATGGTCACTTTTGTTCAAAGCATAGTCACTTTTTGCAGAGAGATGCATTCTTATTGCTCCGTTACAGTTGTCCCCTCAGGCTTGTGTTGGAACAACACAGGCAGGAGTTTTAGTCTGGCAAAATCTGGATGGCCATAGGTACTCCATCTCTGGGCTAGCAGGACTGGGAACTCAATGCTAGCCTTAGTGAAAAATGCATCGTGGTGTTCAGAGACAGAGGCACCATCTGGAGGGGGGGCGAGGGGCCTTGGCCTGCCTAAATTTTCAAGGAGGGGGATGGGCCCACTCAATATCCCAGGGCAACATACACACAGCATGCACACACACTGTGCAACATTGTCACGCTATGTGTGTAAGCCACACACCATATGCAATGTACCGGAAGAAGCAAAAATCGCAATTGTCAAAGCAATGATTCTTCAACATTTGCTGAACTAGTTATGTTGTGCGGATGCCTGATTATTGTCTTCCAAAGCAACTACTCTATTCCAAACTTAAAAATGGAAAGCATAATGCTCGTGGTCAACAAAAGAGGTTTAAAGACTATCTCAAGGCAAATCTTTAAAAATGTAGTATAAACACCAACAACTGGGAAACACTGGCCTGCAAGCGCTCCATTTGGAGAACAGCCTTTATCAAAGGTGTCATGGGCTTTGAAGATGCTCGAAATAGGGCAACCTTGTCGTGTCCCTTTTTCAATTTTGAACTCTTCTGTAACCACATTATTAACTATCAGTTTTGCTTTCTGTTCTGAATATATCGCCTCAATCCCATTCTCAAAACCCCGTCCCACTCCCATCTCTTTTAAGTTTCCCATCATAAATTTCCAAGAAATGTTATCAAAGGCCTTCTCCGCATCTATAAAAATTAAAACAGCTTTTGTATTTATGTCAGTTTGGAGAAGTTCCAAAATATCAATAATGTTCCTTGTGTTAGCAAACAAATGTCTACCTGGGAGAAAACCGGCCTGGTCCTTATGAATTACTTCATTTAAAACTTTTTAAATCTACTTGCCAAAATATCTGCAAATATTTTGTAATCCACATTTAAAAGGGAGATGGGACGGTAGTTCTTCAGTTGTGTCTTTTCAGTTTCTGACTTTGGTATCAATGTGATAAACGCTTCCTTCCACGAATCCGGTGCCCTCTTCCCTCCATAATTTCATTGCTAACCTCCATCAAAGGTTGTATCAAATAGTCTTTTAGTATCTTGTAATACTTGGAGGTCAGCCCGTCTGGCCCTGGAGATTTGCCAAGTTGCATGTTCTGAATAGCTTGTTCAATCTCCTGTCGTGTTATTTTAGAGTTCAGGATTGTCCTATTTTCTTGTGACAGTTTAGATAATCCATTTTTGGCAAAAATTGTTTAATCTCAACTTCGTCTTGCGGCCCTTGGGTATATAATTTTTAAAATATCTCTGGAAACACTTTCTAATGTCCACTGGATTCTGAATGTTTCTTCCATCAACCTCTAAATTTGTAACCGTGTTTAATCTTTGTCTTCTCTTCAACTGCCAGGATAGCAGTTTTCCACATTTATTCGCCGACTCAAACGTTTTTGTTTCATTAATTTGATCTTCCATTCAATTTCCTGATTTATCAATTTAGAATACTGTGTTTGATACAGTTTAATTTCTCTCAGAGTTGGCTGTGACTTTGGATTCACTCTTAATTTCTTCTCTAATTCTTTTATTTTATCCAAAATCTTGTCTTTTTTCTCATTTTGTGTTTTTTTCTTTACTACATTCTGTTGTATCAGGAATCCCCTCATAACAGCTTTGCTTGCGTCCCAGACGATTCTTTTTCCACCGAATTGTTCATATTTATCTCAAAATAATCTTTCAAAACTTTTGGGCCTTCTTGGTAATTTCCTGATCTCTAAACAAATTGTCATTCATCTTCCATCTAAAGGATCCAGTTGGTAGTAGTGTCATGTCCATCTTTACTGCGTTGTGGTCAGAACAGGTCTTTGGGCAGATTTCCACTTTTCTAACCCTAGGTGCCAGGCCTCTAGAGATCCATATTTGGTCGATTCTTGTCCAGGTCAGTTGGGCTTCAGAAAAGAATGTTCCTTCTCTACCTAGTGGGTTCTTTGTTCTCCAAATGTCGATCAAGTCCATATTGTCAGTCATTTCAAAAAAAGTTTTAGGTAGTCTGCCATCTTTTGTGATGTTTTGACTTTGCGACTTGTCCATGTTAGTTGACACGACCCCGTTCATGTCTCCCATCATTATGATGTTGTTGTAATCCAGATGATCCAGCATTGTCCCCTGCAACTTCTTGTAAAATTCCGATTTCCCTTCATTAGGCGCATAGATTCCTAATATCAGCAGTTTCTCTCCTTGATATTGTATCTCAATAGCCAAAATCCTTCCATGCTCATCTTTAAATAGAAATTTAGGTGACAGGCTCTCTTTGCATATATCACCACTCCTCTCTTCTTCACTTTATCCGACGAAATAAATTCCTGGCCCAATCTTTTATTTATTAACACTTTTCTGTGGAGCCTCGTCACATGTGTTTCTTGTAAGCAAATAATGTCCAATTGTTCTTTTTTTAATATATGAAATATTTTCTTCCTTTTCTCCGGAATATTGCAACCATTAATATTCCAACTCAACAGTTGCAGAGACATCCTGGATCTATCTGGTTATTTCTCCTGGGGTGGTGTCTTCTCTTGATCTTCAAGTTCCCGAGGTGGAGGTATTGATGCTGGCTTTGCCTCAGGCCCGGAAGGTAGTTCAATTCCTTTATGTAGGTCCTCTCCGTGTGTAGCCAGAAATTTATCTCTCTCTTCCAATGTTCTAATTTTAACCTTTCTCGCTCTAAAGGTAAAAGATAATCCTTGGGGAAAATCCCACCTGAATGGAATTGCGTTGCTCCTTAATAGTTTAGCAAGTTCGGAATAGGCGGCTCTAAGGTCCAACAGTTGTCTTGGGATATCTTTATATATCTCAATTCTTCTATCCAAAACTTCCAGTGACTTTTCGTAATGTAGGCCCAAAATCTTATCCCTTTCCTCCTTCGATCTCAATGTAATCAAACAATCCCTGGGCCTCTCCTTCTTTGTAAATCTTCCAAGTCTGAAAGCTGACACAATTTTAAAGTCCTTTTCTTCCAAATTCCAGAACTTGGAAAGTTCTTTGGTCAAAAACTCAGTTAGATTTCCTTCTTCTGCCTCTTGTAATGATCTAATCCTCAGATTATTCTCACGATTTCGCAGTTCTATCATAGAAAGATAAGTCTGATGTTCCCCAACTTGTTTAGTGAGTGGTCTTACCTCTTGCTCTAAATTTTCCAATTTTTGTCTGGTATCCTCAGCCAATTTTCGGTTTTCTACTGAGGCCTCCGTCAACTGTCCAATTGCTTGTGTATTCTGTCCCACCTGTGTAGTTAATTTGTTTAGACAATCTGTATTTTTATCAATCTTTGCTGATTGCGCATCTACTTTCTTGTCCAAAGCTTCCAATTTTTCAAAGATTTTTCTAGCACAGAAACAGATGCTCCTGAGGCCATATCTTCCAATTGTAACTGCTCTACTTCACCCTCTCCCTCTTTTGCCTGTGACAAGGCAGCTTCTTCAAGTTGTACTTCTGAGGGCAAAGTAGGCACAGATGATCTACGTGTCTGCGAGGTTGAGGTTAGATTTGTTAGAGTTGTTTGTCTAACTCTTCCTCTTCTTCTTGTACCACTCATTCCAATGTTATCTATCAGTCAAGGTCACACTGAGTTTTTCCCACAGGAATAGAGAGGCCCAGAGCAAGCAGACAACAAGAGAATCGAAAGTAAATGTTTTTATAAAGTCACTGTTTTAATCCAATCCTCTAGGGGGAGCTTAAAGTGTCTTTTCAGAGTCTAATTTAATGTCCCAGAACCTTCCAATATAAGTATTAAGCAGAGTTTAAAAGTAATCACTTTGTTGCAGACAGTGCTTATTTGTCTCCAAAAGAATGTTTCAAATTTAAAAGGTCTCAATACCCTCAGATTGTTGCAACTTCTAATATACAGTATCCAAGTCAAACACTGACAGCCCACTGTTACAGTGCTCAAGCAATCCTGACTCTGGGTTTCACCTTCCAATTTGTAATCCAATAAAAGGGGAAAGTCAAGCGCAAATAAAAGGTCCAAATCTTTAACTTGCTAATTTTACTTTAAATTGTAAGTTCCATAGATGCTTGGCTGTGTAGAGTTTAAAATCTCTTTCTTTCAGCCTCCACTCCTCCACTTTAGTTGCTTTTTTTCCAAGTTCAATGGCAGCGGAAGACGGACTTCCTGTTTCCACGTCTCTCCGCTTTCAGCCAAATTCAAGTCAATTTAAACCTTCTCATTTAAAATTTGTAATTCCAAGTGATTCAGTCTTTACTCACGAGTAAGTTGTTTTCTTCCAGATCCGAATTTTAACAGGAAAAGGGATCAGCGCTCACCGGCAGCAGCAGCGCGGCTTCACTCCGCTGACTGTGAAACGGCTCACAGCGCCGCAGCCCCCCTCCACGCTCCGGAGCCTCTTACGAGGCTCCTTCTGCAGTTGGCGGGCGGGAGAAATGTGCTAAGAGGAAGGCCTGTTTGGCAAACCCTCACCGCGATCAGCTCCTGCCCGGAAACCTTTGTCCTCACTGTGGAAGAACATGTGGATCCAGAATTGGCCTCCACAGTCACTTACGGACGCACTGTTAAAACTGTGTTTATGAAAGACAATCTTATTTGGCTAAGTGTGGTGGAAGAAGAAGAAGAGGAGGAGGAGGAGGAGGAGGAAGAGGAAGAGGAAGAGGAAGAGGAGGAGGAAGAAGAAGAAGAAGAAGAAGAAGAAGAAGAAGAAGAAGAAGAAGAAGAGAAGAAGAAGAGCACATCATGCAGTCCTGGTCCCCTCAATCAGAAAATAGAGCTAGAAAATAGAAGTCCACCAGCTCTGAAGATCAGTCAGCACAGCTGTGAACGTCTGCGGTGCTTTCACATGTTAAGCTTTGAGCCTCGCTCTTGCATCATTTATTTTAAAACGTTTATGCTGAACACAGAAATCAAAGCGGAGCGGAACCATGTGTAATGTAAATGAGTCTTCTGGCCAAGGTAGCTTTTGTATTCTCAGTTCAAAGCGATGCAAAGCAATGTAACCCTCATGTGTGAGCATGACTGGTCACCTCACATCCAAAAGGAGACTGCTGAGTGGGGAGAGGTTCAGAAAAGGGCCACCGAAAGGATCAAGGGGGTGGAGGGACTCCCCTGTGAGGAAAGGTGGCAGCGTTTGGGGCTTTGTAGTCTGGAGAAAAAAGGCAAATAAGAGGTGAAATGATACGGGATTTGCACAAGGATACATGGTGCAGAGAAAACAGACAGAGAAAAGCTTTTCTCCCTCTCGTAATAACTGTGTTGGGCATTTTCAGTTTGTGGAAGAAGGCAACGGGGAAGCATTTTATCACGGAGCTAGGAATGAGCTGAGCCTTTGCTCCGAGGGAGATTGTATCAGGCAGCCATGCTGCTCCCAAAACTTCTTTTCTCCGCCACGTAAACTGGCTCCAGCCATAACATCCCCATATGCTTCAGTGCTAAAGGCATGGCTGCTGGTTTGTGCGAAGCCAAAGAAGGTCACTTGGTTGGGGAGGATTAAAGTTTATGCTTCTCTCCCTGCAAAAACATCCAGCCGTGATCTGCAGGAAACCTGCTTCAATCCCCTTCAGTGAGGTGACCTGACCTTATTTCAGTAAAATTATTTCAACACACTTTTTTTTTTTGGCAGATCTCTCTGTCTGCCCCCAAGGGATTGCAACCCGGCATTTTGATGTGCAATCTGAATGTCCCTGCCATTGAAATATTGGATTGTTTGAAGTCTTTGGGCCACTAATGGGTACAATGTTCCACTCGTCGATGCAAAAAGGCAAAAATTCACCATTCACTCCTCTTTAAAGCCACAACATGAAACTTGTTCGTTCTTGCCAAAGTTGAAATAATTCACAAGCGACAGGAACTCTTTGACCTAGATGTTCTCCTCCTCATAAAGAACATAGAAGAAGAGCCCTGCTGGCTCAAGCAAAAAATCCATCTTCCAGCATTGTCTTCTCACATTGGCCAACCAAATGCCTATGGGAAACCAGCAAGCAGAACCTGAGTGCAACAGCATTGTCCCTTCCTACAGTTTCCAGAAAATGGTAGTCGGAAGCACATTGTCTCCAACAGTGGAGTTACAACAGATCCATCAGGTTTAGTAGCCATTGATAGTCATCTCCTCCATTTAGTTGTCTAATCTTCTTTTAAAGCCATCCAGTTTGATGGCCATCACTACCTTCTGGGGGAGCGAAGATGAAGAGTCCTGCTGGGTCAGCTCAAAGGCCTTTCTAGTCCAGCATCTTGCCCCCTGCCCTTTGACCCATTAGATGCCTCTGGAAAGCCCATAAGCATTTTCGCTCGCCTGCTTTTTGTTTCCCAGCAACTGGTGCTCATAGACACGCTGACTCTCTTCCAGGATGTAACATACTGTCATCATGACTGTGGTGACTTGAGTGTGTACAGAGGAGGGAAACCAAGAGGGTCAAGGGTCTAGAAACCAAGCCTTATGAGGAACAATTGAAGGAGCTGGTTATGTTTAGCCTGGAGAAGAGGAGACTGAGAGGAGATAACATTAGTCGTCTTTAAATATCTCAAGGGCTGCCAGATGGGAACAAGCTAGTTTTCTCTTACTCTGGAAGGCAGGACACAAACCAATGGCTTCAAGCTCCAAGAAAGGATATTCTGACTAAACATCAGGAAGAACTGATGTTCTCGGGGTCCCTTCCAACTCTACCATTCTATGAGTCTATGATTCTATGACTAATAGGCAGAAAGCCTTACTTTCCATAAATCTTTCTAACTCCCTATCCACATTGATTGTGCTGGCCCCGGGGGGTAACCTGAGAAATGCAGTCCAGGTCCAGTCCAGAATCCGAAGGAGTCAGTCTGACAGGGCCAAGGCAGGACACGAGGCAGGAAACCAGGCTAGGTCAGGCACAGGGTCTCAGGCAGGATCTAGCAAACAGCAATGTTGCTCCCGCAACCTGGGGTGGGGTCCGACAGGCTTTTATCTTTGTTGGGGTAATGGCCAGTCCTGATCCCCCCCCCCCCAGCAACTCACCTCTCTGTTTCATCCGAGTACTCAGGTCTCTCCTTCTCTCAGACCTTAGTCTCTGCAGCTCAGGAGATGTCGGTTGGTTACTAGACCCAGGGACCGCCTCAGCCTCCCCTGACCCAACCGGTAGTGGAGCAGCTGTAAGTGATGGCCCAGCTGAAGGCAACGAGGTAATCCCTGCATCTGGAGCCAGGGCAGGCTCAGGCCCCTGACTTGGCCCAGTTGGGGCTTGTTGCAGGGGAACCTGTGCAGACTGGGGCTCTTCAGGATCAGGCCCCAGACTTGGTTCAGATGATGCCTGAGGCAAAGGATCTGGTGCAGACTGAGACCCCTCTGGTTCCGAGTCTGAGCCCGAGTCCCAGGCCATCACATTGATCATCCTTTTGGTTGTACTCTAACATATATTGCTTTTTGTCTCAAAAGCTCCCAAAGTGAACGACATGTTCAATTAAAATTGACATTAGAATACAATGAAATGCCCATAAATCAATCGCCTAGCAAAACAACATAAGATGGCAAAATCATGACACAGGTTCTCCACCCTTGGCTTAGAGTGACTATGCCCAAGGTCAGACAGGGAGTGTTGTGCCCCCATTCCCACCAGCAAACGTTAACCAGTGACATCATCTGACTTATAGGGGGCGTGGTTTGGGGAAAATCTTATTGTGGTCCAAATTAGACCCCTGGCAGGCCAAGAAGATTGGCCCAAGCACTAGAGGTTCCTCACCCTTGCTGCAAATTGTAGAAATATAGCGATGGAGAGAATGTTGCAGTTCAATTCATTGGTAGAAATCCAGTTCTAGTGCATTATCCACAGGACTGAAGGACCTTTAGTATCTGATCAAGCCCTGGAACAAAACCATGTGATTAATGGACAGAGAGACAGTTTCCCTCAACAAGACCTTCTGTTTCCAAACACACGCTGCGCCTCGACAGATTCCGAGAACTTCTCTTGGAATTTATCTGGTCGCTGTGGCTTGCTTTCTAGCCTCCAATAGAGAAAAAATAATTTAAAATCCATTTCCCCCTCTATCAAATTCTGAGTCATTGCCCCCCTCAGCAGTCTATAGAATACTTGTGATCAAGCACTGCTGTGATTTTGCATTAAGAGAGAGATGACTAAGTTAAGAAATGTAGGCATCTTTTTGTGGGGACATGAGACATCTTTCTTTTGGATTGGTGGCTTGCCAAATGGATGTCCCTATTCGAACTTTCTTTTTTTACAATCTTTTTTATTGATTTTTGAAAATGTAAACATACAACATAAAACAATACAAAATCTCCTGACTTCCCCCCACCCCTTCCATGGGTCCTTTTAATTCTATTTTCAACTGCATATCAGTACTTCTCCAATTTTCCTTCTTCCTAAGTTATCTATGGACACGGGTGGCGCTGTGGGTTAAACCACAGAGCCTAGGACTTGCCAATCACAAGGTCGGCGGTTCGAATCCCCGGGACGAGGTGAGCTCCCGTTGCTCGGTCCCTGCTCCTGCCAACCTAGCAGTTCGAAAGCACGTCAAAGTGCAAGTAGATAAATAGGTACTGCTCTGGTGGGAAGGTAAACGGCATTTTCATGGTTTAGTAGAAGCGGCTTAGTCATGCTGGCCACATGACCCGGAAGCTGTACACCAGCTCCCTCAGCCAGTAAAGTGAGATGAGTGCCGCAACCCCAGAGTCGGCCACGACCGGACCTAATGGTCAGGGGTCCCTTTACCTTTACCTTTAAGTTATCTATATGTTCTGTTACATTACAAGTGCATTTAAAATCCTGCTAATGTCTTAACCTGTTTTCAATGATTTTGTATATACATTATAAACACTTCCCATTCTTTTTAAAATTTCTTGTCTTCTTGGTTTCTGAGCTTCCCTGTTAGTTTTGCCATTTCAGCATAGTCCATCAACTTGGTTCGCAATTCTTCTCTGGTCAGGGCTGTCTCTTCCTTCCATCTCTGGACTAGTAACATCCAGGAGGCCATTGTAGCATACACAGACAGTTTCCTCTGATCCTTTGGAATCTGGGAATTTGGGTACCTATAATTCCTAATAAAAAAGCTTCTGGTTTTTTAACATAAGTTATTTTGAACGTTTTTTTCATTTCATTATACAGTGGTACCTCGGGTTAAGAACTTAATTTGTTCTGGAGGTCCGTTCTTAACCTGAAACTGTTCTTAACCTGAAGCACCACTTTAGCTAATGGGGCCTCCCGCTGCCACCGCGCCACCAGAGCACGATTTCTGTTCTCATCTTGAAGCAAAGTTCTTAACCCGAGGTACTATTTCTGGGTTAACGGAGTCTGTAACCTGAAGCGTATGTAACCCAAGGTACCACTGTATATCATTTCCCAAATTTTTTTAGTTATATTACAGGTCTACCACATGAGTCCTATTCGAACTTTCAAGCAATTTGGGGTTGTGGAAGCTCTAACCTCATTTAGTTGGAAGTTAAGTCCCATTGAATTCAATAGGACTTACTCTTGAGTAGACATGGCTAGGATTGTGCTGATCGGTAAGTCAATCACATTATTGTGTATAGCCAGAGGCCCTCACCATAAACAACCGAAGGCAAAAGCAATGCCCTCTTCTAAAATCACACAACATGGCGGAAAAGTCCACAGCATAAAAATTTCCAGCATAAAACTTCAGAATGACAATGCATTAACATAACTGTAGGGGAACCTCAGCCAGTTATGAAAGAACAGGAGTCGTGTTTATTTTGCTATAACATACAAGCCTAGGTCTACTGGGATCCCATTACTACAACTTAAATAGTCGTCTTAGAATAACTCCTGCAGGTTCCCCTTTCTCAATCGCACTAGGAAACAGATGGCACTCTGACAACATTAGCTGTCAGATATTTTTTTTAAAAAAAAAAACACCACAACAACAACAAATTGGCTGGCTATTTTATTTATTTATTTATTTATTTGCAGGGACTTTTGCCGCTGCATC